ATCTGGCAATGGGGAAGCTTTCAGTGCAAAGTGATGGTTGGTATAGCTTCCTTGAGGTGTGGTGATGCTGTTCCAATATTTACTTTTCTTGAGACACCTTGAATCGAGCTGTGGAACTTCAACTGCAAAATGAAAAGTGAAAATGGTGGAACTTGTTAGAGGATTACAGGTCGTGTTTTAGGTCTTGGTTTGCTTGCATTGATGCTAGGGAATGTGTGTGAATTGGTTTGGGCAAGAAAGCTTGAGAGGAATGAAAGATGGCACTCAAATTGCAAGGCCTTGCCCTGTCTTGCAGTTTGAGGTGATTCTGGGATTAGGAGTGTATGAGGGATGTTAGGGTCGTGTACTAGCTTAGTTGGGATGTCCTGGATGTGTTTTACAAGTTGCTTAAGTGTTTGTAAGCTGATATGAGAGTTGTCCTCTAAAATGCAATGTTACTTACACTTTAAGCAACAAATGCCCAGTTGTGTTCTAGGTCAGTAGAGGCCCCCTAATGTGCTGCATAATCTCTCCTTGATCAGAGTGTTTTGCTCATAATCTTGTGCCAATTAGATCTCATCTGTACTTGTGGATTTGCATCATAACATAAAGTGAAACTTTTGCAAAAATGGATATAATGCTTTTTCCAATTTGGGATTAATCCTTTAGGCAATGCTTGAACTCATGAAACAAGGTCTTAGCACAATGAACATGCATTAAATTATTGAGTGTTGGATGGTTTAAGGACCTGTAATCAAGGGGCATGCTGGTTTGAGAAGTTTGCACAAATTATGAACATGGAAAATAGCCAATTCAAAAGTGAGTTTTTGCCATATTGTGAAATTCGATTCTCTCAAGTTATGAGGTTGTTTGAGAAGTTATTGGACATTTTGGAAAGCTTGGAATGTGTACTACAATCCATCTTTGAAATACAAATTGAAATTCCAAGTGGAAGTGTATGGAAAATGGCCTTGAAGTTGGGTAGAAAACCTTGTCAAAATAGGTTAAAAATTCACTAAGTTAAGAATGGTTTAGTGCCCTTATTCAAAAATTTGTAACTTGAGATACAAGCCTCATTTGGGAAAACTTTGTGAATCAAAGTTGTAGATTATGCAACAAGCTACAACTTTCATGTTTTGACTTTTGTTTGAATCCAAATAGATCTTGGTGAGAAAGTCGGGCAAAGTTGGGAAAAAATTAGGGTTTTTCATAACTTAGAAAAATTCTAAGTTATGAAAAATTCTCATTTCTAACCCTAATTTACATTTTTTGATTTCTTGGTGAACAAGTTTCATTATTTGGCATGTTTTGATGAAAAATGAATCTTGACTCTTGATTTTGACCAAAAAGTCAAAGTTTGACTTTTCAGTATACAGTCAAAATTGATCAATTGACTGGGAAATTCAACTGTCAATCTTGTGCACTTGGGATCTTTTGAGTTTGTTGAGCATGTCAAGATAATTCCATGGGGTCCTTGAGTCCATATGTGAGCTTGGTTTGCCATTGGCTAGGTCAAACAGTCAAAAATTGCCTTTGTGCAGTCAAAACCCTAAAAATGACCATTTTGCCCTTTTGGTGATCTGATCAAATTTCTTGTGGAATTGTGATCCAAACTTGATCAAATGGTTCATATGAGTTCATAATGTTGATGTGGGTCAATTTTCATGAGATTTGACTGTCAATTGGCCACAGTTGACTTTTCCCTAATACAGCTGATTTCTAGGTCAACTGTCCAATTGACTGGGCAAAACTTGGAATCAAGACTTGAAACTTGATGAGGATAAACTTATGAGCCCAATATGAAGCAAGAAATTTATCTTAGGCATTTTAGGTCAAAACATCTTTGTGCAAACACAAACCCTAATTTGGGTCAGCAGTGCAAGGAGAAGTTTTGAACATATGAAAACCCTAACTGGACCCTGATCCTCAAGGGCTTTGTGATGAGAAATCATTGAGAAATGGGAGGGCAAATTTTGGGGTACAACAGTTTCCCCTGTTCAATCTTCTTGAACCCGAAGAGTTAGATTGGCAAGTTTGCCTTTCGTGACTCGAGGGTAAAAGGAGATTGGACACTAGAGTGCCCTTAAATTTGCACTCGTCAAAGCAATGGATGCGAGAATGGGCTTAGAGATGCCATTTGGAGATGGGCTTAATGATGCCATCGGGAGGAGTGACAGAAACTTGTCGGGGATGGGCTTAAAGATGCCATCTGGAATGAGTATCAGAAAGGTGTATATGCTTGGGACCATCTCTGCACTGGGGGTCTGAATAAGCAATAGATTGACATCCGTTGTTGGGAGGAATCCGTAAACTGTTTTCAAAAAATTGCATCTGAACAAGTTGATAGATTAACCTCCATTGTTGGGAGGAATCCATAAACTGTTTTCAGAAGTCTTGGAGTTGAATAAGCAATAGAACAACATCCGTTGTTGGGAAGCGTCCGTAAACTGTTTTCAAAAGTTGCATCTGAACAAGTGATAGATTAACATCCTTTGTTGGGAAGAATCCATAGACTATTTTCAGAAGTCTTGAGAAGAAACTGAACAAGCGATAGGTTAACATCCGTTACTTGGCGAACCCGTAAACTGTTTTCAGAAATCTTGAAGTTGAATAAGCAATAGAGCAGCATCTGTTGTTGGGAAGCGTCCGTAAACTGTTTTCAAAAGTTGCATCTGAACAAGCGATAGATTAACATCCGTTGTTGGGACGAATCCATAACTGTTTTCAGAAGTCTTGAGAAGAATCTGAACAAGCGATAGGTTAACATCCGCTACTTGGAGAACCCGTAAACTGTTTTCAGAAATCTTGAATTTGAATAGGAACTGGTGTAGGGTTGCTTGATGATGAGTCCGTGTAAAACTGCATCCGAAACTGTTAAGGATAGCTTTTTATTCTTATCCTGAAAAGGACAAAATGTTAGCTAAACACAAAATTATGTTGCATGAAATGTATGATGCAATATATGTTATATCAATGTTTATGATATGAATGTAATGAATGCGCATGTATGCTGATGAGCTGTCTTGCTTGGGACAGATGAATCCTGGATGGCTGAAGATAAAAGCATCCTGACTGCTGCCGGGAAGAATAATTCCTTGGCTGTTACTGGGGGAATAAGGAGCTTGGGTTGTATAACAAACCTCTGGGGAATTCCTGATGACTTCTACTGGGGAGTACCAATCTAGTAGACTCATGCTGGGGATGCAAGACTGAGAATCTTCAGTTCGGCGGGAAGCATTTCTGGCGACTTCACTGGGGAACTCAAGATTCGTTCTCCTAAAACTCTGTGGGGAGAAGGTCCATTAATCTGGTTTCGCTGGGGATACTGAAACTTAAACTTTGAGGGGGATTGAATTCCTGAGGACCCTCTGGCTGGGGAATTGTAAAGATAAGTTACGTTGGGGAATCTTGATGAACTCCGCTGGGGATAGGAAGAATTCTGGCGAGTGTGATCTTCTGTGGCAATAAGCTGAGGATAACCCAGTTATAAGCCCTTGTGAGGAATAACTTTGAATAAAACTCGGGAGAGACGTCCGTACTCTGCAGGGGATAAGCTTCCCGAATCTACTGAGGATAAGCTTCAAGACTTGTTGGAGGATATGGACTCCAAATCTCCTGGGGGTTTCCTTTGAAAGGGTATCAAGATATCCAACCGCACCTTTGACTTATCAGCAATCCTCTTTCTTGGTTCATAAGGAAATGATTATGTTCAAATGCATATGCCTATTTAACAAAACATTGGACGTTTCTCAAAATAAAACAAACAGTGCAAGAGAAAAGAAAAGGAAATGACACAAATTTCTGGGAAAAGTATTTGGATTTAATTTCTATGAGTATATTTGTACAAAGGAGACAATCGTCCTAGTAAGAGGATTTTGTCGTAAATATTGAAAGATTTATACAAAATAAAGATGGCTATGTGAAATAATTCCATGGGATTCCATTCCGCTATAGCTTTCACAACTCTGAATATCTGTCCATTCAATGCTTCGTAGGCCAATGACTGGATTGATCAGAAGCCTGGAACCGGTTGATGAAGAGATTGTTCCTGAAATGATCCGACGAGACATAGTCATTACGCTTTTATTCCCCTAACTTTTGCCTGAAAAAAAAAAAAATAAAAAAAAAAAAAAAAAATGGAAAAAAAAAAAAAAAAAAAAAAAAAAAAAAAGAAAAAAAAAAAAAAAAAAATAGAAAAAAAAAAAAATAAAAAAAAAAAAAAAAAAAAAAAAAAAAAAAAAGAAAAAAAAAAAAAAAAAAAAAAAAAAAAAAAAAAAAGAAAATCGCCATTTCGGGTTTTCGATCCACCGGGAAACCCCTTTTTGCCCAAGCCGCCCTTTCGGGTTTTCAACTTGCCGGGTGTACAGATTTTTTTTTGTTTTTATCCCTAATTTTTGCCTGAACCTCCCTTTCGAGTTTTCGGTTCACCGTGATGCCCATTTTTGCCCAAGCCGCCCTTTCGGGTTTTCGACTTGTCGGGTCATTTATGCGTAGTATCTTTTGACTATGTCTGCGTTCGCAGGGTGCGGCAAATCGTCGCCGTCCATGGTGGTCAGAATCATTGCACCACCAGAAAATATGCTCTTGATCACAAATGGTCCTTCATATGTAGGAGTCCATTTGCCCCTGGGATCACTTTGCGGTAAGATAATCCGCTTGATTACGAGATCTCCGACTTGATACACTTGACGTCTGACTTTCTTATTGAAGGCCTTGA